AAGGGGGAACACTGAAAACGAAACGTGTCCCTTGCGATTAGGATAATCAATTTATGTACACCTTTCTAAAAAGTTCCCATACACCCAGGTGACAACGAAGAATTGGGAATCAAATTCCGCTGAACCAGAAATCTGCACTTCAAAGAGCCAGCCAGCGATGTCGCTGAGAGGAGCACGCATGCAGTCATTCCGGTTTTAGCTCAGCCACCCACCTCTCTTGGATTGCGGAGCTAGCCGGCATTTCGGATCCAGCCGTTGTGCGATACTAATCATCTCCGATAGGACTTGAGGAGGACGGACTGTAAAGCTGTAGAGTATACTGCACTGCGTTTGCTCCTTGCTGCTGCTCTTGGCTGACCCAGGACTTCGAAAAATCCCCACAGGTACGAGCAAACTTTTTTGTGTGTGGTCGAAGATGGACTGCGCCTCTGCACAAGCCCAACATGCTACCATGCACAACATACTACTGCTGCCGTTCACCTGTCGCCGTCCTTCCACGTCTACCTGTCCATGACACATGCTGCCACTTGATGCGGCAACATCTGGGAACAACACGGACACAGGGAGTACCCCCGTACCCATACGCACAACCTCTCATTCCTCCCTTGTCAAACACAAATGATGTAACATGCATGAAATGATGAACTCTGTCTATATTTACAAGTATGGTCCACGCTGCCTACAAATGGGAGAGGTAGCCATACCTCCTGCCTACACACGGACGAGAGAGGTGAACACACCCACTGCATTTAACACACACCCACATGTCGGTTATGAAACCTCATCAACCACACGCCTCTATCGGCGACCACGTCATCAGGAGGCAATGATGAGAAATGTTCTCCCGTGCCCTTCTCACATTTAACGACATGAAATTCCACAACATAACATATATGAGACACACAAGACAGCTACCAAACTGATCTTTTGAGCCTGTCACCCGAGAGTTGTCCCTATATGCTGTCTAGGAAATCGTAGACATACAGGTAGTTTTCTCTGACCCTATGATTCCATTTTTAATCTGTCTCTGACTCTTTTCTATGATAGAGATGGCACATCAGCCGCACATACTCCCCACATATGCATACCAAACTGAGAAAATATTTGTTAACTGATGGAGATTGCATGTACTACAACTAATAGGGTGCGACACACAAAACGCCCGACTACCCAACAGTACCCAACACCTTTCGTCTGCACCTTCCCAACATAACATATATGAGACACACAAGACAGCTACCAAACTGATTTGTTGAGCCTGTTACCCACAGGGGAGATGTCCCTATATGCTGTCTGGGAAATCGTAGACACACAGGTAGTTTTCTCTGACGCTATGATTCCATTGTTAATCTGTCTCTGACTCTTTTCTATGATAGAGATGGACTCGTTGTGTCATATCAAGAAAAAAAAAAAAAATGATATGATGAGCGTTCGGATAGTTCTCGACGATACGGTTCCAACAACACCGCCATTCGGCAACGCCTGCTGAGGAAGTTTCGCACTTCTACAATCACCACAGGGAGTGTGATATTTTTTGTCACCACATGCTGGTTGCTGCGTGGTTTCCGGTTGCTCGAGGGGAACGTGTCACCTGCCCTGACCAATTGACGGAAGAAGCTGCCATTCACCTGGAGGTCATCTACCGGAGTTCCTCCCCAGTGCACACACACCCTTCGGTGCTAACGCAAAAACAGGATCCATGAACCCTTCGAATAACACATAGTCGTGATTTTTTGTCATCATGACAGCAAACTCTCGACTTTGGACCAAGCACATGCTTCGAGGCCACCGATGAAAAGGCAACAGTATAAGGCAAAAAGAAAAACTTAGGGGAAACACCCGCTACACAGGAAGAGGCAACATTTGGGGCCGAAAACAAAGCTTGTTACCTCCATTTCAATTTTTCCTTCTTTCTGTGTGCCCCTGTCTGATACACCAAGCATTACTCCCGAAAGGTGCTGGCTGGCGCCATAACACATGGGACGAAACACACACAATCACCACACACACACACGTTTGTTAGCCGATTGGCGCGGTCGATGCTAGGAATAGAGACACGCACAGCACACACACACGAAAAAAAGACACAGCAGCTATTTTGCAACGCGTCCTCCACCTCAGATGCGACAAGTTACAGGCCGTTGGGTGAGGCAGACCCCAGATTTTCTCAAACAGCGGACGAGTCCCGTGTCTCTACATACATGCATCTTCGTCTGAAATGTGATGCGTGACCATTGGTGGAAGGGCTACAGCAATCGACAACCGAGTACTCCCCTCCTCCTCTTCTCGACATAAGTGAGTTAGCGCTGTTGGCAAAGTGCTGTAAAGCACACAACCCCAAATATAGCCCCCATAGTATGCGCTACCGAAGACGCGTGACGCATGGACGAGTGGAGTGAGGATAGCTGTTTACGGCAACCTCACAGTTTGAGTAATGTATGAGATTGCCAGACACATGGACGTGTTGAGTGATTATAGCTGTACACTGAAACCTCAAGGGTTAAGTGAGGTTTGAGATTGCCAGAAACATGGACGGGTTGAGTGGGGATAGCTGCATACTGAAACCCCACGGGTTGAGTGATGTTGGATTGCCGGACACATAGACGCTTTGAGTGAGGATAGACACATACTGAACCTCACAGGTGATTTTGTAATGGAGATCACCGAACACATAGACGTGTTGAGTGAGGATAGCTGCATACTCAAACCTCACATATAGATTGGTTTGTGAGTTTGCCAGACACAAAGACGCGTTGAGTGGGGATAGCTGCATACTGAAACCCCACCGGTTGAGTGATGTCGGATAGTGCCAGACACATCGACGCTTTGAGTGAGGAGAGCTGCGTACTGAAACCTCACAGGTTGATTTCTATCGGCGATTGCCGGACACATAGACGTGTTGAGTGAGGATAGCTGCATACTGAAACCTCACGGATGGATTGGTTTGTGAGTTTGCCAGACACATAGTCGCGTTGAGTGGGGATAGCTACATACTGAAACCTCACGAGTTGAGTGATGTTGGATAGTACCGGACACATTGACGCTTTGAGTCAGGAAAGACACATACTGAAACCTCACAGGGTGATTTGTATTGGAGATTGCCGGACACATAGACGTGTTGAGTGAGGATAGCTGCATACTCAAACCTCACATATAGATTGGTTTGTGAGTTTGCCAGACACAAAGACGCGTTGAGTGGGGATAGCTGCATACTGAAACCCCACCGGTTGAGTGATGTCGGATAGTGCCAGACACATCGACGCTTTGAGTGAGGAGAGCTGCGTACTGAAACCTCACAGGTTGATTTCTATCGGCGATTGCCGGACACATAGACGTGTTGAGTGAGGATAGCTGCATACTGAAA